ATATAATAAACATTATTATTTAAAAAAAATTCCAAATAAATTTTGGTTATGATTTTAAATATATAAATCTTATTACATATATACTACAGAGATTGCTTGGGGTCAGTATGACTGACTAAAGTTTTGAAAAGAAGTCTTATGCTCACCAAGGTTGCTTTTATTGATCAAAAATACAGTATAAAATAATATATTCATACATGCATGCATACATACATACATACAGATATGAATATATCCCTGAAATTTCAAGAACAGTCCAAGGAGAAGCAAGAGTGTTGATTCAGGAACCTGTCCTACTTGACAAAATCATGATTACTGTAAGTTGCTTTGAATAGCTAAATAACACAGTTTATGGGTGATGTTTGATGATACTTTCACAGATGGGATGTTTGTGACATTTACTTCATGTTCTCGGCAATCATCATTCTCCATTTACACTTGATGGTCACAGTTGGTCATGTGACTGATCAACATCTCATGGGTGCTGCTTTTTTAATGAAGTGTGTCCTTCAAAACCCAACACATCGTCCCTATAGGAAAGCTTTAACAATCAGTGTGGTTTTGAATGTAATCCCAGAACATGTTTGACTTTGCTACATGTATTTATTTGCCCCCCCATTTTTTTCCCTCATCTACCTGCGTGGTGTCTTCCAACCGGGCTCCGTTGGCAGTGTCACCGGTGTCAGATACAAACATATCATGATGAATAAGACTTGAAGACACAGATACCAGTGGCATTTTCAATGGCCATCAGCATGTACACTGAGGGAATTTATAGGGTGTGATGAATCGCTGGGCCGGGATGCAATCACATCTCATCCCTAAACAACAAAAGGCCTCTGTGCTGAAGGTTAAGCGCCTATAGAATGACTTGAGTTGTGTCGTGAGATGTCAGGAGTATTTGGATTAAGTGTGCCCTTGAATTTTTCTTTTTTTTTTCTCTCCCATTCTTTCGGTGCAGTTGTTATGAAAAGGTGTAATGCATCTTGAATCTCACTCCATGCTTGTACCCTCTCTGTTTGGTTCATCGGCTACATTAACTGTCTCTGACGTTTCTCTAATTATTTCCAGGTCCATCATTGTGTATGTCTGCTTTTGTCCTCTAGTTGAGCTATTGCATATTTGTTTTGCTATATTAAGCATATTGCACATGAAGGTTGCCTGTTATTGCAGTTGTTGCACCTTTGGCTTTGTGTTCTATATATTTTTTTCCGTCCTTTCTTAGCTGACATGTCTGTCATGGTACAGTACTTCTACAGCATGCAGATGTGAATTTCTAGCATTATAATCTATAATACAAAAATAAATAATCAGTAAAGCATTGAATGAAATAAAAATAAATAAACATATGCTACTGTCTATTTATTTTGATTTTCTTTTGATACTTTTAGGGTATTTTAAATAAAGACATGTATGTCAGACAGTGGTTCTTCATTGAGGCTTTGTCTACATTAATCCGAATACATCAATCCAGATAAAAACGCTCCACTAATGTCGTAGAGAAACTTTTGAAGAACGCATGAAAACGCTAATTCATCTTACTGCGCATGCTTAGATACAGACGGAAAAATAAATAGTTGTCGCGCAATTCTTCTGGCAGGATTTTATTTGGAAAAATATCATCATTCACTGATGCGTCCAGTTCACCTTATATGTTTGGTCTAAAACGCAACTGCTCTCATGTATTCCTACAGGACAGAAAACGTGAGTAAATGTTCTGTCATCTTTGCAGGACTCTGATATGAAAAGTGTGCAAATTAAGTAACACATTTTAGCAAAATGTGAATAGCAAAGGTGTAATAAAATATCTATTGGTTCAATGTTTTCAAACTAATTTCAATTCAATTTTCAAACTAAAACGTATTAGTGTGGACAAGGCCTCGGTCTGTCTGCCGTTTTTGTTTAGACCAACGCAAAAATTCCTTTTCTTAAAAAGGTGTTTTACAAAACTTTTGTCAAATTTATTTGAAATTCTAAAGTGTTAGTCGGGTTAGTAGATGCATGTTATGGAAACAAAAAATACTTTGTTACTTGGTAAAATGGTTTCAGTGTGTGTATCAGTACTTTTTTAACATTTCCAGCACATTTTGACAATACATATCATTGCATTGTATTGTATTGTATTTTTAGTAATTTATATTTAATTTAGCATAGGACTGCTGTGATATGGTCTCATGACATGTTGTTCTGGTTTAAAACGAGACCTGACTTTCACTGTATGGGTTCAGTGTTTGTCACTGCTTTTTCTCCTCTTTATTCTTTATTTTGGTTTTCATTTCTAGTTTTACTGCATCTCATTTCGAGGGAAGCAGTATGTCTTCTTGAGACCGTTGCTAGTTAATTATTTATTCTCCTTACATGCAACCTGGCCTTGATTAATAGACTTAGATTAGTGTGACATGCACTCTGCCCCTTGTTTGCTGCTAGGATGTTGTACTCCTGCCAGTATGAATGCATTGCTTTAAACGCCGAATGAGCATGTATGTGGACGCCTTTAATGTTAATGGAGACCTTTGGGACAGATCTGCTTTTGGGAGCACCTCCGATTAATTGCACGTCAACTGGACTCTCACATGTGTGGAAGGACCCAATCCATTTTCCCCTTTGAATCAGATCAGCATTTCACATTTGCACATGTACTCCTTAACCTGGCACTGTGATGCATTAGAAAAGAGGATGAGAGTTGGTACAGATAGTATTTTATTGAGGAGGGAAGGACACAGCTCTACAACAAGAATGTCAGCTTCTTTTGGGACTTTGGGCAGTGAAAAAATAAACTCGCTTTACCTTAAAGCTGCAGTCAGCAGGTCTGGCAGATTGAGTGGACTTGGGCAAAATTTTGAACGTTTACAACTCCCATGCCCCTCCCAACGATCAACGAATACCCTCCCAGGTCCCACAGAGTTCGTGCTCGTCAGTGTGTGTGCACCAGCTTTTCTGTGAATGTGCCCGTCTCATCAGCATCCATCAACATTCTTCCAAAAAGCCAAACTTTATTCCTTCATCTGAACATGTTGATACACCTAACGTTACGTTCACACGGATTTCACTGCAAACAAAGCTAACGAACTCCACCTTAAAAATGCAGATCCCATTGTAACTTGCGCGAGGGGTGGTGTGTGCATGACCTGTGATTAACAGTCAGATCTCACACCCCCCTGCGCTGATTGGACCCGATTAACTGGAGCGGTGGATCATTGCAAAACAAATAATGCGCTCCAGGTGGAGTTAGAAGCTCGGGTTTTTTTCTAAAACCACTTTATTTATGTTGTTCTGTCGAATTATAGTGTCGATTTCTCTGAATATGATCAAAAAAATGTTGCCGACGGCAGCTTTAACATTGTACAAAACATTATACTGGACAGCATAATGTAAATTGTACATTATGCTGTCCAGTATCCACAGAAATCAGATACCGGTTCAAGTTTTCCCTGGTGTCTGCGTGTGACATCACAACGAATCGGCTTATGACTCGTTTGAAAAACGATTCATTTCATTGACTCAGAGTCGACTCTTACTTTTGAAAGACAATAACTTTATACGGTGCACTTTTAGATTTAAAACTTTGCAGGATTTTTTCATTCACTTAGAGCTATGTTACGGGAATTTTTTTTTCTTTTTTCTTTTTCCTTTTAATTCCGATTTGTATTCTTCTGAAAGAACAATGTCATATACACCTAAAATGACTTGCGGGTGCGTGGGCTAATTTTAATTTTTGCGTGAACTATCCCTTTCAGCTTTTTTGCACTATAATAGATGTTCGAGATAACAAATGGTGGAGTCTTTCGAGGTTTTTACCAACCGGATTCTCGCTCTACCTGGATGCCCATGCATCACCTTGGGGAGTTATTGCTCTGTTCCAACCAGCTCAGCATTTTCCAGAAGCCCATTAGATACTTAACAATCTCATCTTGTTCAGCATTGATTGCAACATTGACCAGATTAGAAATACAGTAAGACAAGCATTTTTCTCTGTAAATTCTAAATTATAGAAATAATAAAGAGCTTGAATAAGAAGAAAAGATTAGAATCAAGAGGGTGCTCAATAAAAGGGCTTTTTGATTCTGACATGTGGCTGTTTTTGTGTGCTAACCAATTAATCAAACCTAACCCAGAGTTCAGGGTTTAATAATGTATGTCCATTGGCGCATGCGTGTGTGTGTGCAAATACAGTGCTAGCTTGCACAATGGTGGAAGACTTATACAGTTGGTTTAAGATGGTACCTTTAAACTGTATACATATTTTAAGACAGTTTTTTGTTTGTTTGTTTGTACAATGCACTTAATTTCCTGTAATGTTTACATTGGTTGTTATAGTAAAGTATGTGTAATCATGGTTCCAGAAGTCTCTTTTCTGTTTCATTGTACTAAAATGATCCAAAGTCAACTTTTTTTATACCAGTGCATTACTATTAATGTTGCATGGCTAAATAAACTAAATAAGTCAGATTTTTACAGCTGATTGGGCAATGGTTGGTGAACATGACGGGATACATTAAATGTGCGTCATACCAGTGTTTCCAATGTAGACATGGTTTATGAGCAGCAAGCTGTCAATGTGGACAGACCAGAACTGGAAATTTGGCCTCTGCTCACGTCCATCATGGCATCTCAAAAAGCAGGAAATGTAAGCAACAGAGATCTTACTATTTCCCACATCCATATCTAGTTGATGGGAAACAAGCTTTGTACAGTTCATGCTGAAACGGATTTACAAAAATCCAATTTAACTGGATTCCAAGCCACATGAGACTTGGATTGACTTAGTAAAAATCTAATTTCATGCTTTCTTTTTTTGCGCTATTGAGGCTACAAAAAAACTTAATGGATTTGAGACGGATGTGCCGAAAAATCGGCTTTAGGCGGCCAGTGTTAACAAATAATCATCTCAACTTGGCACACTTGTGTATGAGATAAATGTACAGCTCTAGATCTACATATTTGTCTATCATAATATAAAGAGTTTTAATTCCTTTTTTCCCCCTTTGTGTCTCTTTCAGCATTCACCATGATGATCATCCTGGCTTTGATTCGCATTGGCAAGGGGCACAGTGAGGGCCGCCCATCTGTGGCTCAGGTCTCGGGTGTGCCCAACCTCTTCGGGGTCTGTGTCTACTCATTCATGTGCCAGCACTCACTGCCCTCACTCGTGACGCCCATCTCCAACAAGCAGCGCATGAGCGCCCTGGTCATGGCCGACTACATCCTCATCCTGTGCTTCTACGCCCTGCTGTCCCTCACAGCCATATTCTGCTTCGACAGCTCTCTCCTGCGTGACATGTACACTTTGAACTTCACAGATAACTGTGACGTTTTGGGCATTCCAGTGTTGCGCTACTTCCTGGGCCTCTTTCCCGTCTTCACCATTAGCACCAACTTTCCCATAATAGCCGTCACACTACGCAACAACTGGAAAACTCTCTTCCATCGCGATGGCGGCACGTACCCTTGGGTTGTGGACCGGATCGTCTTCCCGCTCATTACTCTAGTGCCGCCCATTATCGTGGCCTTCTGTACTCACGATCTGGAGTCGCTTGTGGGTATTACTGGAGCATATGCCGGAACGGGCATTCAGTATATGATCCCGGCCTTTCTGGTGTATTTCAGTCGGCGCCATCTAGAGCCCGTGTTGGGAAGGGATGCTGTAAATAAGCACCGGTCACCTTTCCATCATGCTTTCTGGGTTTGGTTTGTGATATTGTGGGCAACGTTCTGTTTAATGTTTGTAACGGCTAATATTGTCCTTACAGAAACCAAGAACTGAGTATAAAGCGGATTTGTTTTGGCAAGCTGCGTTTTTGTTTTAATTGGAAGGGTGTTTGTTAGGATCTATGTTAAATGAATGGCATTATCTGAAATTTTAATTCAGTTTCTGAAAGGGACCAACAGAAGTTTTGGCATTTCTTCAGTAGGACTAACGTGAGACTTTTCTCTCACAAATCCACAGTCCTTTAGCGGATGATCTAAAGTAAACGCTACTTCAGTTGGTCAGGTGAATCTCATGAAAACATGCCTGGGTCATGTTTCACCCCAAAAGCAAAAATAAATAAATAAACAATAATACAAATATATTTTATTTTGCCTAAGGAAGAAAAAGTCTTATGTTATTTACATGACTATCAAGCACATTTACACCAAATTATCTTCTGAATAATGATTGTCATTATTGCAATATAGTAAATAAATACAGTACAACTACTACAATACTATAATGCAGTGGTTAATTTATGACTTAATTAAAAATAACAGCATCTATAAGGGCAAAAAAATACACTCACTCAACCCAGACTACACTTTTTTTCCAACCCATTTTTGGGTCAAATATGGACAAACCCAACCGTTGGTTTAAAGTCCCCCCATATGTCTATGTGGTGTTTGTAATATGCTTTAAGGCAAACCATGTGCACATTCATGTCAACACCTCTGCAGAGTATTTTCTCCGTAAAATTGCAGTGAACCAAAGACAGTCTCAAAATTGCGGTTGGTGTTTCTTATGTCAAAAACTACCTTGTAACCAATCGCATCAACGAGTGGATCTCTGAGCTGTTGTGAGTGAGTGGAGGCGGAGCTAATTTGCATATTCATAGAACCGCTTGTACTAAATGAGGCAAGGGTGTAGAGTTACATTCAAGCTATTTTAAAGCATGAAGAAAAAATATTCAAGGAAAAAACACTTAAATATTTAGAGTTTTAACTAAGGGGTTACATTTTCAAACCCAACATTTGGGTTTGTCCATTTTTGACCCAAACATGGGTTGAGACAGCCTAGCATTTTTTTTTTTTTAGAGTCAACATTGATGTATAAATATATCACAATTTAAATATGTAAAATGTAAATAATATTCCCAGTTTATATTGTATTATTTTATGAATTGTTCGCAATTCATTTTATATTAAATTATAACTTGAGGCGAAGGTGTGGTTTAATTGTCGTCTTAAATCGCAGTGTTAAAACAAAATATAAGTCCTTATTTAAATCTTTTTGAGATTGGGGTGGAATGTGGCATTGTTTTTGACATATTTCACACGATTGATGGTGACACGTGCACAACGGTTGAGCCCAGACCTGGAGTTCAATCTCAGTTCATCAGCAGATTGATAGAGGCATTGAAAGCTTCAATATGTTCTCCATGTACTGACGTCTTACCCGGAGCTCACGGGTTCTCAAACGGGCCCTTAAGGGGGACAGCGATGGAAGATAAACCTGATATAAAATGGACACATCCTTCTCGTGATCTAGTGAGACAAATCTTTATCATCAATATGGAGCACCTCATCATGCTTGAGAGATCACACTCGCGCAGTTATTAATGATAATGTCACTTTAGTTCTGACGACGTTGTCTTGAACTTGGCTTGAATTGAAATTCAAATGTACGGCAGCTGATTCCCATCCTGCTTTGCCTTTTGCACATTTTGGTCTTTTTTGTACCAAAATAATTCACCCAAATATTTTAATTCTCTCATCATTTAATCACCAATAGACATGTCATTTCAAACTGTTTGACTCCTGCAAAACGCAAAAGAAATTATATTAAAGAATGTTTCAGCTTTTTTGCTCATAAAATAAACATCAGTGGAGTTCAAAACAACATTGGACCCCATTGACTTTCATTATAAGACAAAATATATATTTTTTTAATCTTTTGTGTGCAGAAAAAAGGCCATTCAGGTTTGTAATGCCATGATGGTCAGTAAATGATGACCGTTTTTTTTGTTTTTTTTTATTTAATCTAAACCGTTTCTTTTATGTCTTTAATGATTTTCTGTGTTTGTGTATTTTTGCTCCACCCATCTCACGTCTGCCTCAGGTTTTCTCGTTAGTTTGACACTTTGTGTTGTCAATGGTAGATTGGTTTGATCATCTGTGACATGTTTGATACTGTAAACTGATCGCTGCTCTCTGTGAGAGCGCTGTCTGCTCATTTAAGAGAACCGGTTTCAGATCCTGCGCTCGACTTCACACTGTTTCAGGTTGAATTAAAGGGAAATATGTCTATAAGAGCTTGTTTGTGGGCAGAACGGACGTCTCCTTATTCAGTTCTTTCTCTGATGTGCTCCACAAGCATTCTGTTAAGGAGTGAAAGTACATGCATTAGCATTCAATTCACCCTAAAGCACAAAAGCAAGTCATTTCACATTGGTGAAATGTTATATTACCAAATACTTGTGTAATATGTCCATTTCTGGGGGGGTTTAATTAAACAAATGTGCCTTCTTTTTAGGGATCTTCCTTCTTTCTCCTATATAACTATCTATCTATCTCTCTTTCTCTCTCAAATGTCTTTTCCTTGATTGTATTGATTGTATTTTCTGTGCCGCCTGTCACTTGCATGTAAGTTTCTTCATATACTTGACAATCACGTCCACCGATGTCTCGTTAAAATAAAAATTGAAATGCCCTTTTGATCTTTAAGATTGACGTTTTGTTTCATTTGTTCTTTTTTATATATTCTACTGTGTCATGTCACAAAAATCAAAGTATTTTTGATAAACTCAGAAATTCTCAATGTATGCAAAGGATTGTTTGTCAATTGGCATACATTTTTTTCACATTTGCCTTTTAATTTTGCATTGCTTCAAAATGGCAATAACAGCTAATTATGTCAAATAATTTGTTGCTTTTTTATATATATATATACACATTTTGACATACTTTGGACACTTTTGAAATGAAATCTTTATAATTTGACTACTTTAAAATAGGAAAAATATAACTGACATTGAAATAACAGATCTATGGACTGTAAACACAGAAATCATTCTAAAGGACAACAGTGAACATTTACTCAAGAACTTTTTAATTTCACAGTTTTGAATGCAAGCAAATGGGTCTAGCTCTTTATTGTGACCATAAACCCCTGAATGTGAGTCCCAGCATGCCTGTGACATCATGTCCTTTCATGTCTATACTGGGCTTTGGTGGTGTTAAATTAAAACGTCCCTCTTAATTCATTCTTGTTTTACTTTCATTTGCTTTAATGTATTCCACATTCTCTGAGCCGCTTGAAAAGGCAGCGCGGGTTGCTGGTTTTCACCCTGCAGGTTTGATTGGACGAAATGTGGCATTTTTATGCGTTTAGTCTCTTTCTGTGGTACATGCTCTGAGTAATAATGCTGGAAAGGCCAATTACTACTACTTCATAAACCTTGCCTTACTATCATGTATTTTTATTTATTTAAAATGCACGTCTTATTCTGCATCTTTTAAAAATAAGTCTCATTTTTGCTCATTAAAAATGTCATGAAGGTCTTGACCAGAATTCCAGATGCTACTTTTTAGTGGTCCGTCCATCAATCTCGTAGAAAGGCGTCTTCCCTCGGGGCGTACAGGACCTCCAGCCTCACCTGCATTTATAATGCCTTACCTTTATGCCCTGCTCTGTTGATTAGATGAAGGAGGATATTGATCCACACCTTCTGCACAAACTATAGACCTAAATCGAGTTCAGCACGACACGAGAACATGGACTATAGCCAATCTGTGTGTTATGATAAAAGGATTTCTTAATGCGAAAATCGTTTAGGCTGATTATGCATCATTTACATTTCTTCAAGGTTAACACTTAGAACCCACTCTAAACAATGCTGGGTTGTTTGAATCCAAATGTTGGGTTAAATTGTAATTTAAAATTTTAACCCAACTTCAACTTTCACTTTGAACTGTACATTTTTGAATACATTTACATTTGGGTTGGAACAACCCAGCATTTTTTAGATTGCAATATAATATGTTTGACTTAAAGTAAATATCAGAGGAAAAATATGGGTGTTTAATAAAGATTGAGAAGGACTTCAGCTTACCAGATTAACAGTGTTATAAACTGGCTGTTTTTTCATGCAGACCATCTCATTTATTGATCAACTGTGAGACAGCTGCCGCTAGAGTATTGCAAAGCCAGAGCCAGGACAACATGTCATTGTTTGATTTATGACTGTGCTTCTCTACATGACACTGTATTAAAACCGTCTTAATCATATTCTGCATAGAGGTTTGAAATGCATTTTTATCAGTGTTGATAAGCTGCAGGTATTGACCCATGAGATTCGTTTTTAGGGTCACATGTACACCTGAGAAAAAAAAATGAATAATGACTAGTTCCACACAAAGCTAATATGGCTGTATAATATGTAATATGGAGTTGACAGTAATGGACATCATCATCTACTTTCATTAGGCCAGAAGAATAAAGCATACGAGTTTGGAACACCTGGAGTAAAGGATGACTAAACTTTCATTTTTATGTAACTATCCCTTTAAGTTCGGTGGGTGTTCAGGTAAAAAATGTCCCCACAAATATGGCGACATAGGAAATTCTTGTCCTTGAGAGGAATTTTTTTGGTTTCCGTGAGGAAAGCAGCTTATAAATCATGCCACAGTAAGTGTTTTTGAACGTTTTTTGTGATGGGTGGGTTTATGGTAAGGGGATAGAAACGTTTCAGTATGAAAATCATCATGTCTATGGAAAGTCCCCATAAAACATGAAAACACAGCATGTGTGTGATTTTCACCTGGCCACATAGATTTATGTCTGTGTTCACCTGTAAATCAAGTCAATGGGTTTATATGACTTTTCCGATAAATGATGTTCTTAAGGCATTGTAAAAATCGATGATTGATGCTTGTTTATTGTGGCATTCGTCAATTGTTCATTTTGATAACTAATAACTAAACTGAACTATTGATTTGGCTGTTCCCAAGTGAATTACTAGATCAGCAGATTTATGTTTTATTATTATAAATGACCGCTTATGTTTTTTTATTGATTTATGAGTTTTTGTTGTTGTTTTTTTACACAAACGTATTGCATTGGGTTGAATTAACTTCTGTCTCTCTCCCAACGTTGATGGAAGTTTTGGGACAGGTGTAAATGACTGGTTTTTATTCCAGACAATTAAACCAGTCTTGTGCTTTCAGGCCGGGATACAAGCACACAAGGACCGTTTCTGTCTCTGTCTGTCTTGCATCTTATGAGCGATCACTTTTTACCTCAGTGTCGTGACATTTTCGTGTAGACATGAACAAATACATTTCTTTGCCTTCAACAAACGCCTGGGTTTTGCAGTATGTTTTGGGTCTTTGTCCATCTATCCTGTGAAGCACCGTCCTGTCAACTTGGCCACTCGTGCCACTGGAAATTTTAAAGATGATGTTATATGCTTTGATAATGAGCTTCTCCAAGCCTTTTTTTTTCTTCTACTCATTTTATTTGGTGTTAGTTTCATCCGTCTAAAAAAAAAAAAAAATGCTTT